ATGATTACTGAATGTTTTTTGAATGTTATATTTTCACCTACTGAGATGATTGTATGGGCTTTGTCCTTTATGCTATTAATGTGGTACATTATGTTAATTTTTGGATGTTAGACCGACCTTAAATTCCTAGGAGAAATCCCATTTTGTGATGGTGTAGAATCCTTTTTATATATTTTGAATTTGAGAATCCTTTTCTTTTTCTGTTTATGATCTCATAAGTAATGTTTTTCTGTAGTTTTCTTTCTTTTCTTAATATGTCATGGTTTTTGTTATCAGAGTAAAATGCCTCAAATAATGAATTGGAAAGTGTTTTATTCATGTCTGCTTTTTGGAAAAGTTTGTGAAGAATTGTTATTAATTTTTTAAATGTTTGGTACAATTTACCAGTGAAGCCACTGGGATTGAACTTTTATTTTGAGAAATTTTAACATGACTAATTCAATCTCTTTACCCCAATTGGTCCATTCAGATTTTCTATTTCTTTTTGAGTCAGTTTTTGCTGGTCATGTCTTCCTAGGAATTTGTCTATTCAACTTTGGTTATCTAATTTCTTGGCATACAGTTATTCATAGTATTTCTATATATATATCCCTATCTTTAAGATTATTAGTGATGTCCCTTCTTTTATTTATGATTTTAGTAATTTAAGTTTCCTATCTTTTTTCTTGGTCATTCTAGCTAAGAATTTTGTTGATATTTTCTTTCCTTTTTTTTTTTTCTTAAGATGGAGTCTCACTCTGTTGCCCAGGCTGGAGTGCAGTGGCATGATCTCAGGTCACTGCAACCTCCACCTCCCAGGTTCAAGCGATTCTCCTGACTCAGCCTCCAGAGTAGCTTGGATTATTACAGGCACCCGGCATCATGCCTGGCTAATTTTTGTATTTTTAGTAGAGACAGGGTTTCACCATGTTGGCAAGGCCAGTCTTGAACTCCTGACCTCATGTAATCCACCTGCCTTGGCCTCCCAAAGGGCTGGGATTATAGGCATTAGCTACTATACCCACCCTAATATTTTCAGAAACCAATTTTTGGTTTTATTGCTCTTCTCTTTCTTGTATTTTCTATTTTCTGTATCATTTGTTTGCACTCTAATCTTTATTATCTATTTCTGCTTATTTGAAGTTTGTTATTTTTTAGTTCTTAAGGTGGTTGTTTAAATTATTGATTTGAGATGCTTTTTCTGTTTTTAATAAAGCTATATATTTTTAATATATGTGTCTTGCAGCTATAAATGTTACTGTAAGTCCTGCATCAGCTGCATTCCATAAGTTTTGGTATGCTGTGTTTTGTTTTCATTTATATAAAGGATTTTGTAATTTCTCTTGTGATTTCTTCTTTGACCTCTTAGATATTCAAGAGTGTGCAGTTTAATTTCCACATATTTGTGAAATTTGCCAAAATTTTTTGCATTACTGACTTCTAATTTATCCCAGTTGTGGACAGAGAACATTTTAAGTCTGAAATAATTTTAAATTTATTTAGACTTGTTTTATGGCCAAACATATGGTCTAGCCTGGAGAATGTTCCATGTGTGCTTGACGAAAATGACTATTCTGCTATTGTTAGGTGGATTCCTCTATAGATGTCTATTAGATCTGTTTGGTTCTTAGTGTTAAAGTTTCTGTTTCCTTGTTGATGTTCTGCCTACTTGTTCTGTCCAATATTGAAAGCAAGGCATTAAGTAGTCTCCAACTATTATTGTTGAATTACCTCTTTCTCCCATGCATTCTGTCAGTTTTTGCTTCATGTATTTTAGGAATCTATTAGGTGCATGTATGTTAACAATTATTATCTGTTCCTAATATGAAATTCACAGAATTCTACAAAATTGTAGTTTTTATTGCTCATTAGGAAAGTAACTGGGCCTCTTTTTCCTCATCTTTAAAATGATAAAAATAGTACCATGACGGATGTAGTATGAGAAATAAAAATACTTAGCATATAGTAGGCACTCGATAAATAAGGTTTTTTCTGTTGTTTTTCAGACATTGTTTTCCCATTGAGATTGCATTGTACTAGATTTGGTATTCCTTAGGGATGTGTTTACAATCTCTAATCACTGATGCTCTTCCTATTAGGCTGAACAGAAGAAAGTACTGCATTTAGCTCTTCATCCAGATTGTGGGATGATGGAGTAATACTGCCATAGAATTCTTGGAAGATAGACTCTCTTTGAAGTCTGTTGGTCTTTTCTGCTTCAGGATATATGATAGGGACTGTCTAGATTGTCTGCCATGAGGCAGTTATCAGTTACTGATTACCCCTTGATGATATTATGTCAAAGTTTTTATTATCCTTTTACCTTGGCTGTGGCAAATATAAGGCATCAAAAATGTAAGAAACAATGGACTTCAAACAGCTTATTATTTTAAATAATAACTACTTATTAACAGGTTAATTTGTATTAATTCGATTGAGTTATTTTCCTTAAAATGAATTTCCCTTCCCTCCCCTCCCCTCCCCTCTCCTCCCCTTTCTTTTATTCTTCCTTTTACCTCTGCCTCCCAGGTTCAAGCAATTCTCCTGCCTCAGCCTCCAGAGTAGCTGAGATTACAGGCACCAGCTACCACACCCAGCTAATTTTTTTGTAAATTTAGTAAAGACCAGGTTTCACCATGTTGCCTGGGCTGGTCTTGAACATCTGACCTCAGGTGATCCGCCTGCCTTGACCTTCAAAGTCCTGGGGTTACCAGCGTGAGCCGCCATGCCCGACCAGATTTTCTTTTTTTATAGATGGGACATGATTCTCTAAATCCCTCAGAGGGGTAGCTGTTTCCTAGAAAGCACATTTCTTAATTTATTCAATGCAAATTGACAAGTTAATCTTTCCTGCATGACTTAAATCTTTCTTAGTATAATTTACGTTTTTTTCTTGTACTTTAAGTTCTGTGGTACATGTGCAGATCTTGCAAGATTGTTGCACAGGTATACACATGCCATGGTATACACATCCCTGGTGAATCTGACTATCATGTGCCTTGGGGTTGCTCTTCTTGAGGAATATCTTTGTGGTGTTCTCTGTATTTCCTGGATTTGAATGTTGGCCTACCTTGCTAGTTTGGGGAAGTTCTCCTGCATAGTATCCTGAGAAGTGTTTTCCAGCTTGGATTCATTCTCCCTGTCACATTCAGGTACACCTATCAAACGTAGATTAGGTCTTTTCACATAACCCAATCTTCTCGGAGGCTTTGTTAGTTTCTTTTCAGTTTTTTCTCTAATCTTACCATCTCGTTTTATTTCATTGAGTTGGTCTTCAATCTCGGATATCCTTTCTTCTGCTTGATCTTTTTGGCTATTGTAACTTATGTATGGTTTGTGAAGTTCTCGTGCTGTGTTTTTCAGCTTCATCAAGTTGTTTATGTTCTTCTCTAAGCAGGCTATTCCAATTAGCATGCTTCTGTTACTCATCCAATTCTTTCTCCATCCAGTTTTGTTCCCTTGCTGGTGAGGAGTTGTAATCCCTTGGAGGAGGAGAGACATTCTGGTCTGTGATGAGTTCATCCTTTTTGTGCTGGTTTCTTTCCATCTTCATGGCTTTATCTATCTTTGATCTGATCTGTTGGCTGTGAAACTCTCAAGAGAGAGGGTTTCCGTTTGTTGGTCTTTGTAGGGGTGGGACCAGCCCAGCCCTATTACCTGTCTCCCTGCTTTTAGCTCCCCATCTTTCTGGGGAGGGAGCAGCTCCATCCCGCAGGTGCTCTCAGCGCTAGTCAAAATGCCCACCCGGATCTGTGCTGACAACCTGTGGCATCAGCCAGAGCTGCCACTCAGATCTGTGCTATTAACTTGCAGTGCTTTTCAGCCCAGTGGGAATCTCCTGGTTTGTGGGTTGCAGAGGGCATGGGAGAAGTGCACTATCTGCACTAGCTGAACGGGAGTGCCAGAGGGGGAAAAGTCCCTGATCCTCTGGTCAGTTGAGCTTCCTGGGAGAGGCAGCACCCTGCCCTGCCTGGGTTTGCCCTCTTTGGGCTACACCCACTGTCCAACCAATCCCATTGAAATGAACCTGGTACCTCAGCTGGAAATGCGGAGATCACTCACCTTCTGCATCTCTCTCACTGGGAACTGCGCTCCAGAGCTGTTCCTATTTGGCTAACTTGGAGGAAATCCTAATTTAAGTTTTTAAAGCTTATATACTATATTGGACTTGAAAAGCAGCTCCTAAGCCTCTTTGCTTTAATATTAGTGATAATTGTAATTAAGAACGCCAATGATGGTGAAATGGTATTAGTGGACTGTTATCTTAAATTTGCCTCTCTCCTTTCTTCACAAGTTGGTGATCTCTAAAGATGATTGTACAACAAGAGGATATATGGTCGCCTTGAACTGTGAGACTTGCTTGATGAAAAATAAATGGGAAGGAGCCAAGGAATGATTGATTGGCAAGTGTAGGAAGTGGAATTGTAGAAATTTTTTATTTTTATTTGAAGACTATAAGCCTAAAACTCAGTTATTTTTCAGTAATTAATTTTCTACATTTTTTAAATTAAAAAATGAAAAAACAGTTTTCTTTGTGGAATTCTGTTCATTTATCATGCCTGGAGACAGAAGCCAATGGATTGAGGTTTATCTACAGTGACATATTCCATGCAGCTCCCTGGCATTCTCTTTCTTTTCTGATATTTTGTTAGTTCTATCTAGTAATTAATAATGATTACATAAAAAAATCTACAAGAGTAGGAAAGAGGAAAAAGACCAGTATCCAAATCTTAATAGTAGATGAACTTAGATGAGATCTGTATGATTTTACTATATAGTTTCTACTTTTTTGTATTTTTAGGTATTTGAAAAGTATGCTATACTGAGTATTTGTAACTTAAAAAATGAAGTTGCATCTTATCCAAATAAAGATCAAATGGATACATCAGGTACCCTGGTCAGTCGTTTCTTCAAGCTATTTTTACCATATCAAACACCATGCTGATCAGCTTAGGTGTCATGATATGTAATGCTTTTGAGCATAAAACAGATATTAAAAATAAGATATAGAACATTATTTGTGTCAATATTTATTTTAAAATAATCTCTAGAACAAAATGAATTTTTTAAAAAAGTACTTAAAATGTATTAATACCTGAATGTTAATAATTTAATATTTTTCCCCAAGTGATTGCACAATGCTTAAATATATTTAAACCAAAAAGAGGCAATAAAGTAGAATCCCCCCAAATTATCTCACAATCTGATTTTAAGTAAATGTTGCATTTGTAAGTATTTCCTCTTATGTTTTTTTAATATAGTCACTACTATATGTACTTGCTTTTATGTTACATAAGCTTTTAATATATAACTTAATCTCTAAGATGTTATTTGGTTGAGAGGCCTCAATTGATTAGACACCAATCTTATTATAAAATCAGAAATAATAATAATTGCTTGTAATAAGTGGAAAGGTTAATATTCATGAGCTTCATAATCTTTGAGCAGTTACATATATGCAAAATAATTACTGTAATTACTCTTAGATGATAGTCTCTGGCTTGAGAAAAAGTTTGGTTTGACATTTAGTAATTAAGCCTTATTGCGTGATACTGCCTTGACTCAGCAAAGCCACATATAATATAAATCCAGTGTAGAGGACTTTGGTTTTTAAATGTTAAAAATATAACTGGAGCAGACAGGTACCTAAAATATGCTCTTATAATGGGAATAAAAAGCAGTTTAGTAAGTTCACATTCATTTCCTATTTGATTGCTAAATATTTAAGAGTTTTTCAGTTATGGCCTGTCTCACAGAGGAAGTATGATTATCTAAATATGTACTTATTTTTTTTTTTTATAAAGGAATTGCTTGCTCAACTCAGTGCTTTCTGTTAAACACTGCAAAATTGTGTGCATCTGCAAGTTAACACCATGACATATCAGGCTAAAACAGAAGAGAACTTGATTGCAGACCTGAAGCTAATTTTCATGGTTTTGATACCAAAAACAAATCTCGCTAGAATACACTCAAGATTTTTTGAACAGTCCGTGAAAGGTGACAGGGATGTTAATCTCCACTTCAGCCCGGGCAACTTCACTCAAATCCTTGGCATTCAGAATCAGGAGATAAGCAGGCTTTTGTCCTGCCCCTGGGCTCACCACCACACTTAGAACTACACCTGTTAATCAGAAGTAAATAAGAAAATATTGAGTTTAGAAAGCCCAAGCTATAGATTAAATGTCACTGAAATAAGATAATATAATATAGAAATAAATATAAATTGACAAATATTGGAAACCATATGACCTGACTTCTTTTTCTGACTCTTCTACCACCTGAAGAGGTCTTTTAAACTCTTTATGTACCCTAGACTGTAAGCCCCAAGAAGGGAGTGTCATGTCTGTCTTGCTCTCTGCTATATCTTAATATCCTATGACAATGACTACAGCATAGTAAGTGCTCATTAAATACTTACTGAATAAAGGGATCTGTTCTTATCTGTAACATAAAAATATAGTACCTGCTGTACATACTGTAAAAACTGTGATGATCAAATGAAAAGTGTGTATAAAAGTCTTTGAAAGCAATAAGATATATGTATGGTTTCTAAGATCTATACCAAACCTGACTTCTTCAAACAAAATAACAAATCTTTTACAGTTTTGACTGGATATGTAAAATCATTTGGTGTGAAATGGCTCCACAATTATTTTTCTGCTTTCTCTGTAGTTTTCCATATTTTAATCCCATAGAGTGTAATCTACCTCCCTCTCCCAGCTGAGAAATAGTTAACTAACACTGATGCTTTGTAAATTTCAGTTGCTGAATTTGAGTTGCTTGCTGTGGCTCTGAATCTTTTTCTAGCCCTAGCTTATAGAAAGAACAAATGAAAACTAGTCACGGAGCTGCCTTCTTATTCTCTTGTATCTGCTATAATACTTTGCTTCCCTTCTTAGAATTATTATTTTTTAGAAGTATATCTTGGTTTGGAAAAGCAAAAACCTAAAATTCATGTTGCCATTTTTTTTTCTTCCTTGTCTCTCTCATCTAGAGCAGACATTGATGCTCCACCAGATGCCAAATGGTGCTTTCACATTTTTTTCTACTGGTAATCAACAAGGCCTGACCACAAGATGAAAATTCTTTTCAAATAAGTTTAATTCTTCAGTGCTGTTCTATTTATAGTATTAAAAATAATTTTTTAGTATTATGGAATAATCAACCTTACTCCTTTCCTAACGAACTAACATATAAAACTGCAGTAAGAAGAGTGTTCAAACACATCAATTGCTTTCATTACCGTCATCTTCTTCCAAGGCATCTGGGTGAGAAACAAAGATGGGTTCTGATGGATATGAATCAGGCTCTTGCCAAACCCAAGTTTCTTTAGTTTTGACATTCAGCTTACAGAGCTGCTTGTAAGAAAGAAAAATCAATCAAGCAATCAGTCACTATGCTTTACTTAACTGGCATATTCTCAAAGCACTGTTGTAATATTAGTAAGAAGGATTAATTACCCTATCTGGAACAAAGTGATTCAAGCCAAGTCCATATGCATATGTGTAAGGTTTCCCACAATACTTCTGGTAATTGATTTGAGGAAACTCAAATGCTGCAAAATAGAACGCATGCTTAGGAAAACTCTGGTAATCTCTTTGAATAAAACATTTGTTCACCCCGTGTGAGGTTTTCTCTAGATCATCTCACCTTGGCGAGGCCCTGAAAACAGAACCTCAGGCTCCAGCCAGATCGTCTCGTCACTGCACAGAATTGCAGTGGCAGTTGTATTGGGGAGTGTGACTAAATTCTTGCCTGTGTCAGCCTAGGAGAGAAGATAACAGAAACCTCAGTGAGCAGGAAAGAATTCAAACGGCCAGAAATACAGACGTCCTAAGTCTTGGCTCCTAGGTTCTTTTTTAGGTCAACATGCAGGATGGAACAGTGCAGGAAGCTACAGATAAGGGACCCTGGGATGTGACTGGACAAGTTATCTGTGCCTGTGTCAGTCACTGGCTATGTATTACTGGGAAAGTCACATAACCTCTTAGGCCATCAATTTTCTCTTCTGTAAACTGAGACCATCCTTGAAGAAAATTTAGAGGTCCAAAGAGGACCTCTGCAAAACAAAAAAACAAAAACCAAACAAAAATCTCAAAACCAATAATAATAATAATGTTTTTCTGCAGAACAACAAAGACTTCAACTGCCTGAGGGGTAAAAGAATGTGTATATCTCTTTCCCACTTAGTATATGTTTTGAGTTTGCTTGAAAAAAATCCTGGTAGGGCGCGGTGGCTCACACCTGTGATCCCAGCACTTTGGGAGGCTGAGGCAGGTGGATCACGAGGTCAAGAGATCGAGACCACCCTGGTTAACATGGTGAACCCCTGTCTCTACTAAAAATACAAAAAAATTAGCTGGGCATGGTGGCGCTCGCCTGTAATCCCAGCTACTCAGGAGGCTGAGGCAGAAGAATTGCTTGAACCCAGGAGGCGGAGGTTGTGGTGAGCCAAGATTGCACCATTGTACTCCAGCCTGTGTAACAAAAGCAAAACTCCGTCTCAAAAAAAAAAAATCCTTACAGTTATTTTGACAAAAAGAAAAAAAAAAACCCACTGGGCCATATGTTTCCTAAGACCTCTTGTCACACACACATGATTTTTCTGATTATTTTATGAAAATAATGGATGAGATTTTTCTAAGCACATATCTACCTATTAATAATTTCATCAAATACTTGATTTTATGTTTTGTTCTAGACTCCATTCTTGGCATTCAAGATATTTTGAAGAGTAAAGTCCCTGTACTCATGAAGTCTGCATTCTAGTTTAAGGAGATATGCAATAAATGTAATTAATAAATTTCATAACATACCACAAATGTGGACAGAAAAAAACAGAGTAGAGGAAAGAAGATCAGAAATGTGACAGGTAAGTGGGTGAAAATTTGGATAGATAGTTAGGGCAGGTCTCTTTGAACAGTGGAGACACATCTCTTAGAAGATGAGAGAATTAGCAATGTAGATATCTGGGGAAGAGCATTCAAGCTGAGAGAACAAATTGTGCAGAGGTTGAGGGAGGAGGATGCTAAGTGTGTTTGAGGAGCATCAAGGAGTCCAGTGTAGATCCTGTTGACTGAGCAAGGGGAGAGAATGAGAAAGGAGGGTGGAGAGGTCATGAGTCAGATTGTACAGAGCCTTGTATGTCATTATGAGGACTGGCTCTTTCTCTGTGAGTGATGGGAAGCCATTGGAGGGCTTTCAGCATGGGCGTGAGATGCTATGATTTATTTTTAGGGTAGCCTTGTGAGTAAGGAGGATGCAAAAGTGGAATCAGGGAAACTAGTTTGTCTTGTAGTCGTCTAGTTGAAAGAAAACAGTGGGTAACACTCGGCCAGTAGCATTGCAGTCAGTGAGAGGTGGAAGAAGTGAAAGGCAGAGTCAGGAAGATTTCCTGTCGAATAGGATATGGGATGAGGAAGAGGCATGAAAGTAAGAGAAGCATCAAGCATAACACCAAGGTGTTTGACCTGAACAATGAAAGACTGATGTCACAACAAAGACAGGAGCTGCTACAGGTGGAGTAAATTTTTGGTGGGGGAAGATGAGAAGTTCAGGTCTTGTCCTATTAGACTTGTGACATCTATTGGGCATCCAAATGCGGATGTGGAACTGGCACTAGCAGGTAAGAACGTCAAGTTTAAGAAAAAGCTAAAAATGTAAGTGATTAAAGCATGAATATTTAACATGAGTGAGTGTACAAATGGAAGATAGGGGAATCAAGGCCCTCCATCAAGATGAGGAATGAGGAGGTAGCTGGTTGAAGCAAAAATGTTAAAAGAAGGATTTTGTAAGAGCCTGATAAAAATGATAGCAGAGTGATGATCTAGGAAAAATGGGGAGAATTGGGAGAGTGATTTCCCTGAGGGGGTGAAGAAGGATGAAAGAGATCAGCTCTGGATAGGAAGACAGATAATTCAGTATATGAGTACAGATGCTGGTGGGTGGGTAGATGTGGTGGTAAGTCTATGGTTCCTTTCTGATTTCTTTCATTTGTTTCAGAAAAAGAAAACATAGTCATCAGCTGCATCTGAGTGTGGAGGCAGGAAGTGGGAGGTGGTAAAAGTTTGAAGAGAGGAGGGTGTGGAATATTTAACTAGCAAAGTGAGAGAGTAAGTGAATCTGGGAAATGCAGCAGAAAGATTTGTGGTCATGCATCTAAAATTGGACCAATTAACATGATTGTGTGTTGTCTGTACTTAGTTCAGCCTCAGAGGTATAAGCATGCAGGGAATGGAGAGTTGAATTTAAGCAGGGTTGTGGTTTTGACAAATGACTTTGATAAAGTAAGAAAGAGGCAGGAGAAATGAAGGTCTACATGAGAAAGTGATTGCAATTATTGACCATAAAGTTTAAATTGAGTGAGGAGACAGGGTAAATCCTCAAGGGAGTGAGAGAGAGCATGAGAAAGTATTGTGTTCAATGGATTCGAAGTTCTTGGTGGAAATTGCAGTCAGGCAAGTGATGTTGAAAGATAAAAAGTCAGAGTGTGTCATACATGAAACAGATTATGGAAGGAGTATACTCTTAAGTACTGGTAAAGTCAATGGTATGAGGGGTGTATATATGTATGTGTATACACGTCACTGGGCTGTGTGATTAGCTAAAATAAGATGAAAGCTTGGGGAATTTTAAGAGTAGTTAGAGGGAACAGTGGCCTGAAAGCAGCAAAGAGGGAGGACACCTACCCCAACTCCAGGCCAAGTGGTGAAAGGGCTGTACCCTTGTACAGAGGAGAAACTGCTTCCCCTGGAAATTGCTGTTGGGGAGACCAGTGTCCTTAGGAGAGACAGCCAGATTTTGATTTAAGAAAGAAGATGAAGGGAACTTTCTAAGAAAAGAGGACAGGATATTTTTCTTGTAGTGGACTACGAATTAAAAGTAAATAGTGGAAGATTTTCAGAATAGGGAAAGTATGGGAGGTGGGAGCCAATAGAGGAGAAGATTCTGCAAGATTTTGCGAAATAAGGGACTGGAGGCACTTAGTGATAATGCTGGGAAGAAGTGAGGGGTGTGCACATGTATGCATATTTAGGTACATGCATATAAAAAGTACAAATGTCTATATCTATGTTTAATATATTATTTATTTGGCTTCAAGTTAAATTTTTTTACTTTGTTCTATTTTGCTTACTTTTCTTGTTAAATTAGGCTTTCTGTTTGTTTGTTTGTTGAGACGGGGTCTTGTTCTGTTGCCCAAGCTGGACTGCAGGGGCATGTAACTCACTGTAACTTTGAACTCCTGGGCTCAAGCAATCCTCCTACCTCAGCCTTCCAAGTAGCTGGGACCTGTGGCCCTTCTATTTTGCCCTTCATTGCCAAACTTTTAAGAGTATAGACTCAGTATCTGCTTCCACATACTCAACTGCTTACCTTAAGTGCCCTGAAACCTGACTTCTGCTTGTCTCACTGTATTCCGTTGGAGATCGCTACATCTAGTGCTTGGCTTTTAGTCTTCATCCTTTCAACTTGTCTCTAGCAATGGGCCCTGTATAAACCTCGCCCGCCCTCATCTTTGTGACATTACTCTCTCTTTGTGGGAACTAGGGCTTTCTGGTGGCTCTTGTTTCTTTTTCTGGCTTCTCTTGTTTCTACCATTTGCTGCACGTGAGTGTTTTCTGGAGCTACTGTGCTTGGCTGTCTTCTTTCTCAGCATTCTCTGGCTCTCAGATTCCTTATTCTAAAAATAAGCAAATTTTGAAGGTTTCTTTTGGAAAACCTATTCTAAAATATGATTTTTCCCCGTTAGCAGTCTTATCTCTCTATTCTTATATATTTTATTGTCATTTCAATACCAGTAATCATCAGCTTTTCTTTTGTTTAAAACCTTCACTGTCTCCCCATTACCAGTTCAATAAAGTACAAATTTCTTAGCCTGGCTTTAAAGTCTTCTAAGATTACAACCTACTTTTGTAACTTTTAATCCCATTTACTCTACTACTTTTGCCTAGGTTCCAACCAATGATAGCAGCCAATTCTCTCTGCGTTTCTCCCTCTCCACTTCTGTCTTTCCTCAAGCTGTTCTTTGTCTTCAATTGTTCTGCTTCAATCCCATCTCCACCTGCCATATTACTGCCACTTGCAAATAACTGTGTTCCATGAATCTCCCCAAATAAGTATGACTACACCGTTATCTGCCTAGCTATTAAGAAATCAATTGATTCCTCCTGAGAGTACTATTCCTGTGTTGACATGCGTGGCTGTTCCTGAATCGCCTTCTTTCTCTCTGATACACTGGGTAATGGGCTCCATAAGAACTACAAGTGTATTACTTTATGTATCCACTGAAACCAATAGAATGATGCCTGTTGTAGTGGCTACTCAATAACTATTGGAAGAAAGAGAAGATGGATGAGATGATGTTAGATACTTTTTATCATTATTACAGTTCCCTATTCTATAATTAGGTAATATTTCTTCAGGCAATGATAACCATACAGTTAGAAAAATCTTTTTCCTTTATTTCGAAATGTGAATATTCAAGTTAAGTGATCCTCCTTTATTTCCCTGATTTAAAGATGATTGTAATTTTAGCATTGTTAGCAAAATAAGAGTTTACTGAAATTAACTGACTCATCCATTTGGTAAGTATTTTGGGGACACTCAACTACATGTTAGTGATATGCTTCCTAAGAAGAAAGCAAAAATCCAGAAGGTACCCAGACTGATCTCTTTCCATGGTCTTTCTTCGGAGCTCTGGATCCATGTATAGCAGCCACCTATGGAATGCTTTGCTAAGATGGCTAGTGGGTACTTTCACGTTAACATGTGTAAAGCAAACTTACTCTTTTTTTCTGTAGCTAGTTCCTCTTACTTCTAGGTTTTCAGTTCAGTGAATTATACCATCATTCACTCAACTGCTCAGGGTAGAAATCTTAAAGACATCCTGAACTCCTTCCTCTCCCTTACCCCTCATATGTAATTAGGCACCAACTGCTGTCGATTTGACTGCCTAAATATCTCTCACCTTTGCATCTTTACCTCTCAGTAACTCAGGTGTCTATTACCTTTTATTTGCCTCATTGCTTTAATCCTGTAATAGGGCTTTTAGCCTCTACTCTAGACTCCCCGCCTTCCAGTCTGTCCTCCATGATGCTGCCAGAGTGACATTTCTGAATCACAGATCTAATCATGTCCTTAAAATACACACACTTAAAATGCTTAAATGGCTCCTTGTTATTTATATAACACTCGAAGGGTTATATAGCCCATCTTAGTATTTCTCCAACCCATCTTTCCAGTCTCTCTGCCCAATACCCATCTCCCCTACATTCCTAAGTAAACCAACCTCAGCAACTACTTTATATCTCTAGATGAAGTCTTGCATTTTTAATTCCTCCTTGCCTTTATAGAAGCCCTATTGCCTGTTTGTAATACTCAACCTCAACCTCCTCCTCCTTTCTCATTCTTCATAGAGCTCACAAACTTGCTTAAGAGCAGTGGTGTTTGGTTCTAAATTGAGTTCATTTTCTACTACACCATATCTAAGCCTCTGGTACAAAGTTTTACATTCCATGTAGCTGTTTCAATAATCCCTTTTGTGCAACTAGGGAGAAAATAGATATAAAAGAAAGCATATATTCACATATCTATATGTGAGAATTAAATTTTATTGATTTTGACTGGTGTTTCCATCACACTGCAAACTCTAGATGTTACTCTGGTTATTCTAAAAAGGCAGTCTCTAAATACAGGGAGAAAAAAGTAGAAATAAAGAGATGACTGTCTATTGTTAGTAATGATTTTTAACCTCTAGAGATATTTTTCAGAAGATTTATAGAAAACCAAAATAATGAACTGGTTTCCCCACAAGGGTATGTTTTCATCTCTCCAGAACTTCAAATTATTTAAAGTATTTATGTTATTGGTAAAGTATGATAGGAACAGTGGATCTGCACTATTCACCGAGAAAGTATATGTTAAAGACAATTTTGTAAATACAAGAACAGCAGATTTAGAATAAAAAAACCTGGTTCTTATCCTGGCTCTGCTGCAGTTGCTTTTGCTAAGTCACATTACTCCTCTGAGCTTTCGTTTCATTTGTAAAATGAAGGAAGTTTAATTAGTTTATTTTTAAAGCTCCTTCTAGCTCTCACATTTCAAGACTTTATGTATAAACATGAGGCAGGAAGACAATTCCTGAGAGAGATGAAACGTCCTGGTTAAATCTGAAATCTATGGAGAAGCAGGTTACCTTGTCAATATTCAAAGGAAGCACATATCTCCTAACTTCAGGCTGAGGAGCCTTTCTGGCATTTTTTTTCACCTCTTCCCAGTTCTCACGTAAATTGGCTAAATATAAGTAATTATAAACAAACTCAAATCTGCAAAAATACAAAGTCAAACATGAGCACAGGCAATTACAAATAATTTTAGAGAGATGATTCATGCCTTTTAAAGCACAAGTGCCTGCCTGTTCTTTATTCCACAACCCAGAAACTGCTATTGAGCCAGGAGCCCTTTCCTCTGCCCACACCAGGTGAAAATAAAGAAACCTGCTTAATGGACTTAGTAACAGCAGCCTTGAGATTCTTTCTGTTCTGCCTCCTGTCACCATTTTGTTTGTATCTTTAGGGGCTGCTGTCTTTTCAGTGACTTGTCTAGTCTGAAAAATGCATGCCTTTTTCTCCCTTCCCAGAGTGGGTGGGGTTCAAGGTTCCCGAGTGATTTTGTCAAGTTTAAGTTCACTTCTCAGGCTACAGACCTTTTGTTTTCAGGTGGGGTTCGTGGACCTGATTAGTTTTCAATCATTAACCATAGTTTTGATGTTCAGATTACCTAAACTCCCTACTGCTTTTTCAATTACATTTTTTTACTCTCGCATAACTCTGGCTGTTTTAGATGTGATTCACATTGAGAGTAGCATCTCTTTAAAAGCCTCCTAATTTCCAGGAACAATGAGAGATGCAGCGTTTGTCCAGTGTCCTTTCTTACCCTTTCCAGCAGCAGAGATCCACAATCAGAAACCCATTGTCTTCATAGGTGTTGATGTGATGGAAGAGGTTGAAGGGAGAAGTCCTATATTTATTATTGAGGTACTTTTTCCTTTTTTTGTCAGCAATATGAAGCCAAACCTTAAAAAATGAGAAAAATATTTTGATGCATTTCAAAAGGAAACAAGTGTACGTTATTAAACACACCTTCTTCAGAATCACAAACTTGACAAATATATCTAAGACTTACCCCCATGGTTTCATTGGACTCAAAGCAATCCATGTAGTTGGCTCCCCAAAGACTCCATGAAGAAAGGAACTTGAACAGGTTAATTTTGACTGGTGTCTCCACAAAAACGATGTAGTTGGGAGTCAGACCAAAGCTGTTCAGAAACACAAACAGGCTTGTGAATAAAAGAGCTGATTCTCAAGCCACAAACAAATTTGTATATATGCGGTATGCTTAGTTAAAAATCAACAGTGCCTACATGAAGTTTATTATGTTTAAATTTAGTTTTCTGCAAAAAAATATTGTGATCAGGATTGGTATCAAAGGTAGGCAAAGCATATCTTTAAACTTGAGTTTTCCTGAAGATTCATAGCAGGCCTTCAAGTTACCTATGAACGTAAGATGGCTTGAATCGGTCACTGCAGGGGAATTGTACAACGATCTCTGACTTGCTTATTGGATCTTCCTTGTCTGAAATAAAGTGGTTTTAAAAGGCTTTGGAACAGCCTCTTATTTTTTTTTTAATACAAAGCATTTAGAACAGCTTATACAGGCAAAGAAACACGTTGATTTTTTTTAGAGGGGTTATTTTCATATTCTCCATCATTGGCTCTTCTTAGTGAAATTACATGTGAAGCTGCAAAATCACCCAGGAAAATCCAAATAGCAGCAGATTTGGAAATGTGCACTCAAATTGGGCTGTGGCAAGCAGAGTATAGTGGAGTCACATCTTGCAATAGCTGGAGGTGGTTTTAGGTCAGGGGAGTAGGGGAAAACCTCAGAATGGTCAAAATGCCTTTTGCAACAGCTTAAGCTGCCCAGAGGTTATAGTTTAGATGGGTTTGTGTCAATAGCCCTGTACAGTAATTCTTATGCACGTTAAAATTTACTTACTAGTAAATGAATGGTCCTCAAACTTTAGTGTGCATCAGAATCACATAAAAAGCTTCTTAAAATACTGATTGCAGGCTCCACTCTCAAAATTTCTCATTCAGTCTGCCCGGGACGGGGCTCAAGGTTTGTATTTCTAACAGTTCCCTAGGTGATGGCCTTGGTCCAAGGACTACACTTTGAGAACTGTACTAAGTAATACTAAATAAAAATCTGTAGACATTCAGATAATTCTATCATCAAGGTGGTTAACAATGAACCTGGCAATAAATAGAGAATGAATGGAGAATTCTAGGGTACACTTTTTTTGCTGTAGTTTTGCTGTAGCTTTCGATAGTATTTCTGTGAGTTAATAGTTTTGTTTGTAGTTTTGGGAATTAAGCAGAACATATTTAGTACACTCATATATGTACGTATGCTATTATGCACACATGTATGCTTATTTAATTTAATTTTGCCTAGCACATGAATAAGTGCTCAATAAATGTTTGCTGGGTTTGAATCCAAATTGTATATGATCAAATCCATATATTTATATTATACTACATTTTTAACATTCTAGAATAGAATTTGGACTCTTGCTTTCTATATTTTCAACTTGTCATTGCTTGATGTGGTGCCCTTGGGCACTAGGCTCCTTATAGGGTAGGGGTGAGGGCAATACTTCTAAAGTCTGAGAGTAATTTAACTATCCACCTAATGCTATTCTGATATTCTGATCTTTCTCACAATACAGTAACTTTCTCACAATACAGATACTTGTTTTCAGAAGAGGACAGATTGGTAAACTCACCTGCTTGCAGTGGAGGGATCTTTACAATGTTGTAGGCAATTGAAAAATTCTTTCCAAAGCAATTACCAATGTTGTAAACGGTTCCATCATTTTCAATGTGGGGGTGAGCAGTGGCTCCATTGACGGAGACATAGTTGCAAAGATCAACCTACAGTAGTAAAGTGAATGTCCTCCCATTGAGAAAAGGAAGATTACATTATCCTTTGTCCCTAGTCTGAGGCCACCACTACCCCTTAAACTCTCACCCTAATTGCACTTTCTTTTTCTTTCCATCTCTGGATTCGACCCTCTTTCGCCTCAAGTTCCCCTCTTCTTCCCACATACTGCCCCCTCATGTGTCTGAATCTGGAGTTACCTGTGACATCCGTTTCTTTGATGTATACCATACAGTACTCTGGCTAGTACTTTTCTTTTAGCATATGCATGTTGGCTTCAGATCATGTTTGGGTCCTCAGACTTCTTTATACTCTTCTTAATGTATTAAATGTAATTGTATAAAATTGCCAATATTCAATAATTGTTGATTTACAAAAATGGCAATTTTGTATGGTACTATGTAAATACCCACTCTGTGTCTTGCACATAGTACTATATGAGTTTGAAACTCCAAGGGGCCTCAAGCTTCATCTAGTAAAGAAATTCTTAATTTAAGTAGACTTCAGGAGAACCATGGGTCTCTTTGAATTAAGTTTAAACATTTCTGGCAAGAGCATTCAGCATTTAATTCAATTTTATGTCTCATAAGAAGTTTAGAGCTATATATGTAACACAAATCTCTCAGTTTGCAGAAGGATAAATTGAGGTCCCAGAGAGGTCAAGTGTCTTGTTTAAGGATAAAGAGTAACATGTTGGCAAATCAGCACTAGATTTCTACCTGGGACCTACTTGGTAAAGATTTATTGAATGAATAATTAATGGAATATTTATTTATCTAACCAAAATTCTTTCTATTTAATTAGGGGGATATTTTTTAAAGCATATGACACTTCAGCACCCTTATTTAAATAATAGGCAAGATATTCATTTATTCAATCAATGATTTATCAAATGTTCTGAGCTTTCACTGTGTGCCAAGCACTGTAAAAAGGCCCAGGAAAGAGAAAATCCTTGCTTTCAAGAACTTCAGCCTAGACCATCTGTCCAATATAGAGATCACTAATTTTTAGATAGAACTTCAAATTCAGTTCCTCAGTCAGATTAGCCACATTTCAAGTGCTTAATAACACCAGGATGGTGCAGTTATAGAACATTTCCATTATTGCAGAAAGTTCTTTTGGATAGCACTGCATTAGACCAATAAGCTGGAATAAAGCACTGTGAGTGTGCGATGGCATCGTAGAGAAATGCCATCTAGCCCAGACTGAGGAATTAGGCAGATTTCTTCTGAGAAACGCAACTCCAACTAATATTTAAAAGATAAGTAGAGTTAGCCAAGCGGTGTAGGAAGACAGTGTGCTCCAGGGAGTGGGAATCCTAATGTAAATGCATAGACTTGTGAAATAATGTGTGCTGTTTGGGGATTACTAGTCAGTTAGCCTGGCTGCCATGAAGGGCACAAATTAGAGTGGACCAGCCACAAAGACCTTCACTTGGACTTTATTTGGGAAGTTATGGATTCCCTAGATAAATACTTTTACATTTATATTTTTAAAACTTTCTACTGCTGCCTTGAATAAATTGTATTTAAGGGTATCAGTCTGTAGGCAAAGGCACTGGTTAATTATAGTAAACAATCAAAACTTTCACATTTTTAAAATTACATTTTTATGTGAAGTTAGGGTTCAGTGCTAATAAAAATGAAACCTGACTCCTAATAAAGTCTATTCTGGAGCCGTACCATGGCTTCTATGTTTCTAATTAAAATACCATGTCATTGTAATACAGATTCCCTATCAAAGTTAAATGAATGACTTAGAAACTCAGCTTCAGGTCTTCTCTAAATGAGCTGCACACACACTTGTACATGGTTACACACACACAGATAAACAACAAAGAGCAATGGGGAGTATCTGCTAAGACTTAGTAAATAGTCTGGAGAGAATCATAGATCAGTTTGTACTATTGAGACTCAATGTGGAGACTGTTTTTTTCTTCTATTTCTACCAGTACTGCATTTGTGATTCTGGCCTTCAGTTTCACCTACTGGTCTCCTAGCTATACTGTATCTTTTTTGCCTTCCCATAAAGCTCACACATGGTCTCCCAAATAAAATCTTAAAGTATAGCTCTACTCATACTACTTCTTTGAGCAAAAACTTCCAATAGCTTCCTATTAGCTAAACAACATATTCCAAATGTTTAGCCAATTTTTCAAGCTTTTATTTTCAGCCTACCCTGGGTCTCACTATTCCCCTTGACATTACCTACTCTAGGCGACAAGTTCTCTACTGGGAGTGTTATTGCCCGCTAAGGGAAGATTCGGAAATGTCAGGAGCATTTTGGGTTTGCATAATGATTGAAAACATGACTGGTGTTTAGTGGATGAGGCCAGGGATGCCAAACCTCTGCCATGTGTGGGATGTCCCTATGATAAGGAGTCACCCCTGCCTAATGCCACAGTAAGTACCTTCACTGAGAAATGCTGCAAGTCTAGTCAAAAGAGATTATTCCCATTTTCATGAACGCCTTCTACCTCTATGCCTTTGATCACCTTACCCCTTTCATCAAGCATATCCCTTCTCTAAATTCACTGAAGTCATACCTCTCCTTCAGCTTCCAGCCCAAAGGCTTTCCTTCTAAACCTTCTTTGACCTGTCCCACCTTGCATTGCCAGCTACTTCCAAAGCAATTCCTTTCACATTTGTGCTTTCTCAAAGGATTTTCCTTCTTAAAGGACTCATCATATTTCTTGTCCTATTACAGTTATATATTTAATTTCTCATATAGACATTAAATCACTCGAAGACAAAACAATGCCTTATAAATAGGTGCATCTTAGTAAATATTGGTTTAAAATGAGTATCTGTTCTAAGGGCTGCTGCATTGAGATTCCCTGAGTTCTCAGTAAAATCTGTCACTTCCTAATATTGCTGAAATTTTGTTCTATGCCATTTCATTCAAGATATAGCTTTATTTCTAATAAGAAGAAGTGTCTATAAGAAAGGGAAAATTAGTGCAACATACTTGCATAGAATCAAAAATAGCATGTTTTTCAATATTAGTAGATATAATTTTTTGAGCACTCAGTATTTACCAGGTTCATGCTAGTTTATAAAAGTTATGAAAGGCGGGGACCATGTTATCTTACTCATTGATCGATCCCTTGAGTCTAGCATAAATTCTGAATATGGAAGCCCCCAATAAATATTTGTGCCATGAAGGAATGACTATGTTAGGCATTTTATATGAGTTTTCTTCAATCCATAGGTTTAAAATTTTATAGGTGAAGAAACAACGTTTGTCCTGTGCCAAATAGCTAGTCATTGTTGACAAAGCTAGGATTTGAAACTTAATCTGGCTCTCATATTCTTTCCACCAAATGCACCAATTTCAGGAAAGCGTCATAGACAAAGGCAATCAGTGCAATCCATTTGGAGCTTTGAGTGGTCATTCCGTGTGTCCTCATCACGTCAGAATTTTACATTCACAGCCTGAAGAATTTATGTTGAATTAATTTTAAGTTCCAAATTCTAAATTCCTGAACATCACCTAGCACTGTGTCCCACCTGCTTAATTGTCTCCAAGGTCTCTGGATTAATCTTCGTAATAAAGTTGGTCTCTGTGCAGGCGTAGTAATCTTCCCCCACTGGGTAGACATTAACAAGGGCATTGTCGGTAACCTCCACTCCTCGAAAGTAGGAAAAAAACCTGTAGAAGCAAAAGGATTTTTCAGTCCAGTAATTTTCAAGCCATGGGAGAAAAAGGGCTAATGTAAAATGTCTTGAGTAACATGCAGTTTGGGTTCAGTAACCTGGAAAATATATTCTTGCAGGGATCTGGGAAAGCACAGGTGCCAAATTCTGTTATGACGATCCTTTTCTCAGTCATTGCCCGTACGTAAGCATCGGTGCGGATGAACCTGAAGGAAGTGAAACATAAGGAAGGGTATAGAAAGGAGCAAGCTGTGCGGTCCGTGTGGAGCTTAGAATGGTTATGCTAGTGTCCTCATCAAGTCAGAATCATAAATGCACAACATGAAGAATAGTTTTATTAGCACACTTTCTTGGGGTGAGCAAGCAGGGCAGATACAATGTCCCATGAGTTTAACTTTCTTTCTTGTAAACCTCACAGATGAGGAAATCGAGGTTCAGAGGAGTTAAGTGGTTGGCATATGTGGCCAAGCTGGGTTAGAATCCTAGCTGGCCAGCGCTGGACAACATGAACTTTTCGTATCATACCATGCAGCTCTGGGGGTATTTCACATAGGACCTCCACCTCTGTAACCTCTCACCTATCAACCTAAGCTTACTGGGGAAATTCAGGCATGGTGTGCTGATTATATTCCTCTCAGTCTTTTTCTGTTCCTTTTATGTTTTTCTTTAATTTTAACATTTATTTTCTTTTAAAAAGTAAATATTCTTGAATTTCATCTCTTTCCCAGACAGGTTTGCTAAACCATATCTCAGAGTAGATAGGATACCTTGCCCTTGATTTCTCATGTGGAGAGCCAATTAAAATCTGATTTTGCACTTTTATTGGGAAGAAAGAGTACCCTGGTCTGTTGAAGGTATAGGAAACTCTATCTGAACTCCAACCTAAGCTCTCATGGCTGCATTTCTGTTTGACATCATATGTTTCTCTTTTATTACCATGCAAGTTGTCCTGCTTCCAGTCCCCTTTCACTTTTTCTTTACAGGTCTTTACAAAATGCCTGAAATCTCTGGTGATTAACAAAGCCACCAATAGGCTTGAACATTAAAGCAGAAGGCAAAGCAGTTGTTAATCTTTCATTAACGGGGGTTTCCTGGAATGATGATTTAGGATTTCAAGGCTTTTAGCAATAATCTCTTGTTTTCAGAAAACTTCTCTTTCTGACATCACTATGACATGCTTTGTCCTTCACTACTTTGTGGTAGTCCCCCACCTCCTTTCCCAGTGGTCTTTGCAATTTTATAAAAAGAAAAAGGAATCAAGATGGCCAATGATTTAATAAGACTAATGACAAGCATCACAAAAGCTATTATTACTAAGCGCTTTGTGTGTGCTAGACATTGTGCTCTCATTTAATGCATGTAATGAACGTATGAGCTATATTCTATTATTTTCATTTTACTAATTATAAAACCAAGAATTGGAGGTCACTGTCTTGCCAAAGGTTACCCTCCTAGGCAAGTCATGTCTGTTGATTACAGGATTTAAAGCCAAGCATGTTGGGCCCCAAAGCCCTAGTCTTTAGCTTCTCCTTTATTCCGTGTTAGTGTTCCCACGTGTCCATGCAGACACACTGGCCCAGGAAGAAAGTGTGTATACAGGTTACCTACTGGGTTCAGAGGTTAAAACTCACATGGGAGGAAGAGCTGGACCTAGGTCCTACTCTGGGGAGGAGAAGTGACATTGAGTGCTGCTTTACCTTCTGTGGTATGTGACGTGTCCTTCTTTAAAGTCAAACTTGTGCAGGAGGGCTTGCCCATCAAACAGGTGGTAAAATGGCTCAGATCCAACTTCAAAGAGTCCTGGCCCACATCGAAGGAGACTGCCAGTGAGCCAGAGGGGGATCCTGCCTGTGATGAAGGGGAGACAGAACATTGCTTCTTATCCCTGCCTTGGGCTTGTCCTTGGTAAAGCAGAATATATCAGCAGCCTGATTGGGCAGCTTCCTTTTCATAGAGCTGGCAGTGATTTTCATTCCCAGTCCTGGTGCTGGACAGCCCTTAGAAAATGTCTGCTGACTTGACTCTCCTTCACTAGGAGACCACACGTGGGAAATGTGGCAATGCCCCAGAGTGTGGATAAAGGGCTGGAAGGAGTGAGGGAGAAGCATCTTGAGAGGACTGGGACTCTCCACAAAATAGATTTTCCCGGACCCCAATCCATTTGCCTTTTGTCATCTCAATTTTTTAAAGAAGGTTTTCAAATATCTTGATATATGTTAGTGGAGTGAGAAGTGGAAGGTTGGGTTAAAAGCAGGAATAAAGATATTTTTAAAAGATGTGTCTATAGAAAAAAACATTTAAATGAAAAACAGGAATCCTGGCTCTTTAAAACCTAGAATTACATCCCTCTGCAAATGTGAGCTACTGCCTGGATGAAAGTCAAACTGCTGTAGCAGGAAGTCCACAGGGTTGGATGTCAGGGAGCTGACTTCCAGGCTAAGATTAGCTCACATGTCATCTCTGGACCTCAGTTTCCTCATCTGCAAAATGTGGGGTACCCAAGATAGTCCTTAAGGCCTCTCAGCTTTGACAGTTAGGTTTGTCCCTAAAAACCCAGGTAGGTTTATCCTTTGAGAAAGACAGTGCTTGACAGTGTTTTGTTGATTCTTACCAGTGAATTTTTTTTTTAAGCAAATAGATTATTTTCTATAGCTAATAATGATAATGATAGTAATAATTACTGTCTATTGATCTTTTTGTCTTGGATGTTGGGTGAATCATTCTATTTACATTAGTTCATTTAATTTTAACTACATCCCATGAGGTACATTTTGGGTTTTGGTAGGTAAGGGAATTGAGGCTCGGAACTTATAAGTAACTTAGATTATTCATAGACAGTGAAATGACAGAGCTAGGTTAGCATCTTCATCTGCCTCCCCCCAAAACCAACGTTCCTCCAATATAATGGGCATGAAACCCACCACCCTTTAATATTCCCAGGTGCTTGTCACTGGGCCTTCATTTGTTTAGACACCAATGGAACGGACATTTATAGGGCATTTACTCTGTGTCAGGAACTGAACTAGGCACTGACAGTTTGAAGATGATAAAGGTATAATTCTGATCCTTAGGGAATTCCAATTGGGCAGCATTTTTCTACATTAGAGAAATAAAGGCAAATGAAAGAAAATGAGTTATTGCTATAAAAAGCCCAAATCACCTGATTTCTCTCCCTGTGACCCACATGGGGAGTCTGCATTGAGCAATGGAAGGAATAGGAAGCCAGAGAAGAGAGACTTGGGCAGAAAAGAGGATGGCTTCAAGGTGGGCGAGACCAACCTGTTACATGAGCTGTGAGCGGCGAGGACAGTTCCTCCACAGTTTCAAACAGTTTTTTGTAACCACCGGCAGGATGCTCGACCCTGAAATGGTGGAAGAATAAAGAAGCCCATGTTGATGCTCAAAGTCTGCAGAGATAGAGGCGGCAGAGCTGCAGGAGAAAAGGCACGCTAGGGCTGGCTCAAAGCCTATTCACTCTTGCCAGGAGAAGGGTGGGGAGCATGTGGGGATGGGGGTGGGGGAAAACTACTCAGGTGTGGAAGGGGGTCCCAGATCACTGCTCTGATGTCAAGAGAAATGGCCTGTCTTTTAATGTCAGTGGTCACAGTGGACTTAATCCTATCCTCTGCAGTTTTTCCTTACTTCGGAAGACAAATCAATCAATCCTATTGCTATCACTTCACTTCCTGAAATTTGTTCCTAAACAGGGGCTTTTGCACAGTATTCTCCCACCCTATCAACATGCTCAGTTCATTACATCATTTATTTTCTTGCCTCAAGGAGAGACTCATTCATCTTCTTCCCAGGGGTTGAGAGATGAAAGCTTTTTGGGTCTGGTACCTCATCCTTCGTTATTTGCTCATATTATACCATAATGTTTTCCCCACTTTCTCATTTCTCTACCAGTCTCTAAGATCTACCGTACTTTTTCATCATAGTAAGACCAGGAGATTTAGGTTCTATATTTTTGTTTATTTTCTACTACCCCTCTTCAGTTTCATTTTATAACTTCAAAGAGTAGGATCTCTGACCAGACTCAATTACAATAATTACCTTTTACTAAACAATTATTATGTTCTACATACCATAAAAAAGAAGTTTGCATAGTACTAGCTCTTTTAAATTTCATATTAACATAATGGGGTAAAAGCTAATGTAACACCTTTCTATATATGGGAAAAGCTAGACTTAAAAAGTTAGGTAATTTGTCCAAAGTCACACAGCTAGGAAATGACTGGGCAAGAAGTGGAACTCAAGTCTGTCTGAAATCCCCATACTGAAGACTGCTTCCAAAGCCCGGGCTAAGTCACACAAACCCCCCATACTTAGAACCTGAATTCTAGATAGTTGCTTTAATACATAAGCAGGAAAAAATTTCCCCACCAAAATTAAGGATCTTTGCTAAACAGGTTATTAATCAATGCCTTCTCTTCAGGAGCCCTTGAAATAGCACATTTATCATGAATCCACTAAGGTAATTTTAAAAAGCCTCTCAGAGATACTTACTGGATAGACATTTTCTTCCAGTTCAGGATCCAGAGTTCTGGCACCAAATGCAGAATGAAGAAGCAAGTTCTCAGCCAGGGGCCTTTTTATGCCTTCTAAATCCCATACAAGGGGTTATGGCTTTGGGAGCCCTTCCCCACCCCTTCAGCTGAGGGAGGGGGAACAGAAGTTGCTTTCAGCTCTCAGATCCTCCTGATGCTTGAGCTTTATTTGGGCTTGCTGTTCCCATAACAGTTGTCTGGCTGTTTTCCAGAGACCTCAATCCTTCCCAAGGAGAATGAGAACAGATTAGAAAGAAAGGAGCAGCGTGGGGTGGCCAGCGTCAGACCTGAGCTGATCCCAGTCACCCCACTGGACCTTGGCACCATTCTCTGGGGCCCACCTCCCCCTACTGCCTCTGTGCCTTCATTCTCACCCTCATTCAATCAGTCACTTATTTTTAAAACTATCTATTACATACCATCTATGGAACAGACAGAGATGGGCACTGTCCCTGTCCCTGTCCTCATAGATCTTATAGCTCTGTAAGTGTTACAGGAAACAAACTATTCAACATTTGATTAGTCCAAGACTGGAGAGGTATAGAATGTTACAGCAGCACATTGTACACCTCCAACCCTCTCTAGCCACCTTATTGGTCCCATTCAGTGCCCATAGTCTTCCAACCAGGTTGAGGTCTATTGATTTGCTGAGAATCAAATTCTGCATATCTTCACTTGTCACTAATGCCTGCCTGCTGTCCACCTCACCTTCTTGTGCACTGGTATATGTTTGGCACTCAGAGAGTATACACACTAATTTATTCGTATCTCCATACTCTCTCATTAAGTCTCAGTTGTTTGCCAGCACAGACATGGTACTGCCTAAAGACGTCCTTGGAAAACAGACAAGGTATACAGTATACCAGTTAACAACCTCAACATTGTTTTGAGAAACTCATTAACAGTTTTTAAATTTAGTGAGTAGTTGTGGCTACTTACCCTAGGGGTTTTCTTCAATAAAACTGCATAACAATTAATCCAAGCGCTTCCCAAGATTTACAATAGTAGCTTTATTTCCTTACAGTGAGGGCATAGGCATGTGATGGGCTCCACCCATTGGGGACGGAGGTAGAAGTCCTAGTGGTAGCACCTAGAGTTCAGCATCCATAATATAGTATCTCTGCCCATCCAAGGCAGTCTTAGTGTCTCCATTTGACAGTGGAGCCTGGAACATTGCCACTGGCTGGGTAGCCTCCAAGCTCGATGCTTTAGCCATCCCAGAGATTCTGTTAGCTCCCTAATATTTAAAATACTTTCATTCTGCTTTATTAGAGTTAGTTTCATTGTTTGCAGCTAAGAGCCCTAGGCTTATAAAATGATAATAGTATAAGATACTACCATAAGTTTTTTGGGGGATGTAATCACTTTTGTTGGATTTTGGAGAGCACTGGAACGGGAGATTGATGCCTGTCTTTCCAAGTTAAAAGACCTGACTGTTTTCAAAAGACTTCAAATTAGAGACTTCTCCTCAAAGTACAAGGATAATCCAAATCATCTTAAACCAGAAAAAAAAAAAAAAAAAAACTTATGTTTTTATTTAGGATTAAAGCAAATACTTCAGTATCACAAACACAATATTAAACTTCAATAAACATACCACTAATTTGGAGTGAGCATTTATTTGCACAATACAATACATTTTTTTTTTTTTTTTTGCTATGAGAATGCCTCATTAGGCAAAATCACATACTACGAAAGTGCTTTAAAATGTAACTGGAGGAGATGTGAAACACAAAGAACAAGTGCATAGTGACACATGGATATCAGAACGTACTAAGAATTCATGCTGCGTCCACCCTTTACCCAGAAAGGGAAGGATCTAGGCCACCTCCTCTTCCTCACTATAGCATGCTATGGTACCACCCAAGAAGAATCAAATTCTTGATACTTGCATTAGGAAGCTCCAGGAGAAGGAGGAAGTAGCTAAGCTGAGATCGGATAGATACATAAAAGTTAGCCAGTCAAAGGGCAGGTGGAAGAGTGTTCAACACAACTTGTAGAATTGATAAAAGTCTAGATGCTAATGTAAGGTGGGGAAATAGCTAGAGATGAATCCGGACTGGAGATAATCATAGGCCAGATTGTATAGAACATCAAAACCGTGTACAGAAATCCAGACCCTTGTCATGAGGAGAGGAGAATGGGAGTGACATGATCTGATTTGTGTTTTAGTAAGACCACTTAGACTGCATGGTGAATCATATACTGGAATGGGAGATTTGGGCAAATTAGAGAGAGACACAGAGCAAACAAGTGGAGGTAGCTATTATAAGCAGGTGCACTGAGGGATGGATATGAATAGTCAAACTCAAAAGATACTTCAGAGGAGCCTGATCTAACTCTGCCACCACTGGTAAATGTGTTGGGGAAATAAAAGCCATAAAAAAGGATTACCACTAGATTTCTGGTTTCACTGAGATAGTGCACACCATGTGTGTCTGTGTGTGTGATGTTTCAGGGATACAGAGATAATGAATTCTGATTGTGATTTGAACTTATTTATTAAAAGACACTGTAATCATTTGAGGACATAATAGTGAGGCTGAATGAGTTAGCATCTGAAGGATAAGCTGAATGTTGACACAGAAAAAAGATAGAGACAGCATTCCTAGTGAAAGATGCAGAGTGAGAGAAGGCAGGAGAATGAGCATGTTAGAAAGACTTCCTCCTGCAGCATTTTTGTTGGATTTCATTTTCTCAGCAGATGTTCTTCTCTCCTAGAAGAGCTACAGGCCATGTTGTCATACCTGTATACTGTCAGTTCATTGGAGAGAAATTCCACGGATATCAAGACCCAGCAGCTTTTTAAAATTTTCACCTCTCCCCTCCCATTACAAGATGCTGAAAGAGAAGCCTCTGTCCAAAAAAAGCATCCTCTAGTTGAGCGATAGAGCATTAACAAACTGCATTTAAGATCACTTCCAGGGAGGTGAGAATCCAGTCTTACTGGTGCCCATGACGGCACCAGGTGCCTTTCTTAGATGCCCCGGTGCTGCCTTTTGTGTTCTGGGGCTATAAACACATTGTTTAAGAATAGCAACTGGTTTTGGCACTTCTTGCATTGTTTTGCATCTGGGGTATCCTTTATGCTTCAACCTATATAGATCCTAGAAGTCAGCTTCTTGAAGGATATTTCTTTTCAAATGTGCAAATCATGGCAATTCATTCTAGGAAGGCTCACAAACTCATAGGCCATGTGAATCATCAAATTAGTATGCTTGGAGAAAATCAGGATGAAAACTAATTTCTGTGTATTAAATCTAATCAAACCCTGAGTTCCTCAGGTATAAGGCAGGGAAAATATGCAAAAGCATTCTTTAGCCAGAATTATTGCATACAAATATTAAGTAATGGTTATTAATGTCAATTCTCAGGAAGTTTGAGAATGTCTAATCTTCTGGCTAATGCCTCCTACCTCAGAAGTAGCCCATTTTTTTTTTTCTATTCTGCCATTGGTGTGAAGTTAAAGATCAGATGTCTACATCCTTTCAAAGCATGATTTTGACCTCTTTGCTCCTATAGCCTCAAATGTAGACCTTTTTCTAGGTCTAACTTTATCTTTCTGTAGTTTCAGTATGAAACACTGGATCCCTAATGTATTGTTACTTTTCCTTTCATACTCTCCTCTTATTCCTTCCCCACCTTAATTTTTTGTCTTTTGGTAAAATCAGATCTGTGTGTTCAATTTCTGTGTCTGCCTAAGAAACTGTTTTATGTTGATATATGTTGGTACATTTACCGAAATAATATTCTGTGAATTAAAATAGCAAAAATACATTTCTACAGAGATTTCTAAATAGAAACTGATTCCATATTTCTTTGAAGAAACTGGTATTGAGGGTATTACAAAAGCTGCTTTTTCATCCTGGTATTAGGCAGATCAGCTGGGGCCTGCAGGTCATGGTGAGGAGTTTGGATTGAGTTCTGAGAGCTACAGGAAGATATTCAGGGCTTTAAGCAGGAGAATGACTGAGGTACCTGATTTATGTTTTGGAAAAAAATCACTCCCACTGATATTTGAAGAATGGATTATAAGTGTCTAGAAAGGAAGTAGGGAAACTGGCAGTTCATTTCAGGTGAGGTGATGATGGTACTTAGAATAGAACAATGCATATGAAAAAAAGATGGAAGGATTTGGGATATGTTTTGTAGGTAGAAGTTACACGACACATGTGATAGGTTGATATGTCTGGGATATAAGAAAATGAGTTGAAGATCATCATGTATCTATTGCTAACATTGTAGCATAAAAGCTAGGCATCAAACCTCAATGTCATACAAGAGTTGTTTCTGGGGTTGTTGGCTAGGTATATCTGCAATATGTCTTGATTTGCTCTCATAACTGGCATTTACCTTGCTGTCTAGGCATTGGCAGAGATAAGTGAGGTGACTAGGCTCTGCTATACTGCTCCTCTCCAGAAGGCCAAGCCTGGTCATATTCTCCTGGCAATGACAGATGAAGGAGCCAGTGAAAACAGGAGAGCCTGCTGCAGGCCAAGGCTCAGAACTGATCCACTGTTTCCCCACTTTCTACTAACCAGAACAAGTCATGCGGCCAACTTAGACTTCGAAGGGGGTGAAAAGAGCTTTTATCTTGGTGGTCATTAGTGAGAAGAACTACAGTGTTACACTGCAGAAGTCATGAAAACAGGGAAGGATGTAGAATTGAAAGCGTTTTTGCAGTTTAGCCCATAGGAGACCCAAATACAATTTCTAGGTTTTAGTGTGAGCAATTGAATGAGTGTCATACTATTCTCCAGGACTAGGGGTGAAATGGCTAAGTGGAAATGGGTCTGTTATGGGTTTCCAGTTAAACCCGAGATGCAAGAAGCCTGTAAGACATTCACCTTCTCCAAGACACTTGTCCCTCCTGCCCCTTCCCCTGTAGCAGCCCTCATCCTCCCTAACCTGAAGGAATTTTCTCAGTAGAGGTAGGATTTTTTTCCATCCATATATTGAAGTTCTGGCAAATGTAATTTTCTTGATTTCATTACATGCTCAATGATACTTTAGTACTCCTTATAGACAGTTGATCCTGGAAGCTTCCCATCTGTCTCACCGGGAAGTTAGCTGGGAAGGGTTGAAATCTGTCTTCAACCCTTCCCCAGCCATACTGCCAGAGGCATTCTTTTATTAGGAAGATGGTCAGATCTACAGAACTTACTCAGTAAAGTCCAATCATTTTAGCGCAGCTATAAGACCCTGTCCATCTCGTCCCC